TCTCAACCTTTAATGTGTACAGGTTAGAAACATTATTCATTTGATTGGTTTAGTTACATTTCTAGCCAACGGTAACTCCCAGGATGATGATGGTGGAGGATTTAGCGATGGGAATGTTGTTGAACATCAAGAAAAGATAGTTACATTTTCTTTTGCTGGAGGTGGTCAGTACCTGAAATGTGTATGGCATAAATATTACTTTCAATTACCATCCCTCAATTACCATCCCAAAGCCAACTGAATGTTGCCTAAGGCTTGCTGCAAATCAGCACAGAATGCTTTAGCATGAAAAGAAAATATGCATGGGTATTGAATACAGTTCAAATACCCAACTCTTTTTTCAGTAATTTCATGGGATGTAAATGTCATTGGTGACGGTGGTGTTCAATCAGTATGCAGTCTTTGTTTTTAGTTTCTTGAGTAGATTTGTAGCTCGGGTTGTGGTTGCTGTGGTTGGTTGGCTCGCCAGTTTGCAGACATTTCATTACCCTGCTGGGTAACATCATCAGTGCACCCTCTGATGTGGTGTTATTGTGTTTTCCTGCTTATTATTTAAACTCTGAGGTCCGTTGGAGTTGATTACCTCATTTCCGCTTTTTCTTTGTACTCGTGTGTATATAGAGTCTAGTTCTATGTGTTTATTGATGGCCATCTTGGTGGGGAACGAGGCTTCCAGAAATTCCCGTGCTTGTCTCTGTTTGGCTTGTCCCCTGGTTTGACGTCGGGATCCTAGGACAAGCCAAACAGAGACAAGCACGGGAATTTCTAGAAGCCTGGTTCCCTACGAAGAAGGCCATCAATAAACACATAGAATTAGACCCTACATACACACCACTGTGAAGAAAAACTGGAAATGAGGTAATCAACTCCAACGGACCCCAGACTTTAAATAACAAGTGGGAAAACACAACTAAGCTTCATCAGAGGCTGCACTGATGATGTTACCCAGCAGGGTAATGAAACGTCTGCAAACTAACGAACCTGCTCGGCGAGTGAACCAACCACAGTCCTTGTCCTTCTGGGTGGCAGAGGTCACCAGTTTGGAAAGTGCTGAAGAACCCTTGACAAGTTGCTCCAGTGTTTCTTGGAAATGGCACACATTTTTGCCATAGTGCTGTAGCAGTGGAGGAAATGAGTGTTTAAGATAGTGGATGAGGATGACGGTGGATGATAAGTAGACTGTTTTGCCCTGGATGAACATAGCTACTTTTGACCTTATGATAGAAGGAAGGTCATTGACGAAGCAGCTGAAGAAGGTTGGGCCTAGAACATGCAACAATATTATTTTATCACCATAAAATATCATGAGGAGGTGCCGGTGTCAGACTGGGGTGGGCAAAGTCAGCAGTCACACGACACCAGGTTATAATCAAACAGGTTTATTCGAAATCACACAAGCTTTTGGAGCGCAGCCCCTTGACTGCACCTGAAACCCATAGACTTTGTGGTCTTGTATTTTTACTAATGGTAATTGAGCTCCCTCACATGGTTGGGTTTGGTAATACACTCAGTTCTCAACTGAAAACACTCATACAAACCTAATCAGTTTAATACACAATTATACTTTCAAATGCCTTCACCCATAACAAATAAGTTTCAATTTTGAGCATGCAGAAAACACATGCCGTCAACCAATGAGATAATGTTTTCCAAAGATGTGCCTATCTTTGGATGAAAACAAAATCTTCATAACAGTAGCAATGCAAAAAACACTTAACCTTTTTGTAAGCTAAGTATATTAAATGCATTCTTACTTTGCTGTTTCTCCTTCCAGCAGCTATTTTGAAGGTGGTCAATGTAGTCCTTCTCAACATTGTTTTCCATTTTTTGCAGGGCAATGCCTTGGTAGTCCTCCTCAAATCTTTTGTCAACAAAATATTCTATTTTAAAACGTTCAGTTTCTCTGGATAGAATATGGCCCAACGACCTGAATAATCATATTAGGAAATGGCTCATACACAAATATTTTTTTCAAAAAAGCTATATTAAACAAACATCTGCTACAAGTTTATGACAAAATCAAGAATGTAGGATTGGGTTTTTTCCAACAATTAGTTGCAGTCCGGTTATATGCAATAATCAAGTAAGTGAGGTATTAATATGGTACTGTTTAATTATGGTCAATGTAAGACTGATATCTCGGCACAGATGATCCTTTCCACATTTATGTGTTTGTGTGTGTTAAACGGAGTACCACATTGCCTCAGGTCAAAATAAACAAGCGCAGCAACTTACTTTTATGGCTCAAACTAAAAACTCGGGTTAAAAAACGTGAAGATACTTTGAAATAAAAATTCAAAGAGAGTGCTTTGTTATTTAAATTGGCTTAGTTTTGTACATTCAGTACAGTAGAATTAAGTTATGGAATAAGTTTCTTGTAATGGTCTCTGAAGACAATCCGGGCTATACAGTTTAGGTACAGTGATAAGATTGGATTCTGGTTAATGTGACTCTTACCTCCTCTTTGGACAATAAAGAAAGTGACTTTATACCATTCATGGCAATAGCTGTCGTGAAATCATATAAGAGTCATTTTAATCAAAATACATTGATAGGCTTTGGAATTTGCCAGATAGTTAGATGTATCAATTAGACATTTGGGACAATATTTATTAATTAAAATGTGACAATACATATCTTCCACACCAGTACTTCCCAAACCATTTTCAGGCTTGAAAATTGTTGCGTCCACCAAGAACTGTGATGTGGGAAGAGGGACTTGTAAGAACAAGGTGGTGGGGGGGGAGCTGTCTACTAAAGAAAGAGCATAGCTGTTATGACTTGGTCTGAACTCCATGGAAGCTACTGCTGCTCTGGTGCTCATGATCCAATGATTTCAGCTCACATTGAAGGTAACGACGTCCACCCCCTCCCTACCACCACCACCACCTTCACTGCCCCTTAGGAAAGCCCTGTTATGGGCAGCCATTAAATACTTTGGTATTCCAGCCTTGTCTTAAATAGAGTGTAACAAAGTTAGTAAGCTGAGAGGGAAAGTCTGTAAGGAAAAGGATTTTCCTACAAGTGACTGATCTTAGGGAACCAGTCAGAGATAGCCTGAAGTCATATCAGTAAGATTACCATCACCATATTTGCAATAAATGCTGATGTCCATAATGATACACATATTCTATGGATTAAAATATAACTAGATGCTAATCACAAATTGGGTACATACCATCGAGTAAGATTGCTCATAAAATGTTCCCATACTGGTCAGGGAATCAGAGTTCAGGATGCCATTGATCATGCACAGGGGGTAGTGACTAGCAAGAGTTAATGACTTTTAGCGGTTAGGTGCACAGAAAGAACAGAAGAACAATTTCAGTTATCAAAAAGAAGTCACTAGCTGTGTCAGCATGTGAACTAACTGAACCACTGCGTATGAATACCATCATTATTTTGAATTCTTGTGAAGAATTCTGTAAAACTGAGGAAATACTTTCATATGTGGAGTGGTATTATAGATAATCAGGACAAGAATAATTTTAAATTGGCTCTTCCAGCTCAGTGTATAATTGTAATTGACACAGGTCTTCTGATAAAAGGTTAAATTAAACACTTCAGACCTTACATGAATTAATACAAAGATCAATGAGGTCACAATTTTTTGTTTTCCTGCTTTTGCAGTCCAAAGTTGAAAATATTTTTGTAATGATAGTACCAAGGTATCGATATACTTTCTTTTTAAGCAAGTCGCAATGACTGTTTCTTTTTTAAGGGTGAAATGATACTGGGGATTTACTTTTAAAGTGTGAAGACCATGTGTTTTTATTATTGTGTTTTGAAAACTGTGGCTTGAAGTGAGAAAGAACCAATTTAAAAACAAGGAATTACAAAAGACGGCTGGATGTTTTGAAAGCAAAAATTCGATATCTATTACAAATTCTGTGTGGTTGTGGATTCCAGGATTGTGCAGACAAACTTGAAACTGAGGGGTTGTTTTTAAGCAAAGCTAATTGACAAGGACTAGTAGCTAGTTATCAATGACAAGATTCCTCTGCCTGCCAACAACCATGTGATTGGGAGGGAAGACAGAGAGAAACTAGTCAGTCCAGAAAAGAAACTAACAGGTCTGCAGCAGCCAAAAAACTCTCTCGGTTCTCAGCATTAAGCTATTTTAACGTGAGAAATATCAGCTTGTCCTTCTTTCAGTAGATGCTACAAGCTATGACTTTGAATTGGATAAGTGAGAGACATTTCATAAGTGAAACAGCCATTCCTTGCCTCTGCTTCTGCTGGTTTCCAATTCAGATAAAGGTCAAGGAGAAACATGTGGATCAGCAAGGACCACCCCAACAGATCTTATGAACAAAAACAGAAGTTGCTGGAAAAGCTCAGCAGGTCTGACAGCCTCTATGAAGAAAAATCAGAGTTAACGTTTCCGGTCCGGTGACCCTTCTTCTGAACTAATCTTGTGAACATAGATTATGGAACTGTTTCTCTGGTTTATCCTCCATCCATGTTTTTTTTTCTATCCTGTTAATATTTCTCTGCCTGTGTGTTTAAGGGGAAATTTATTAATGGTTTTGAGTTTTAAATTTATAGAATTTAATTAATTTAGTTTAATTGTTTACCTGTAGCTAAAATCTAAACATGTGCAATGGATGAGTAGACAGAAATTCTTAATAAGTACAGAAACCTGGTCCATGCTTTTTATTATAGGTAGTTGGAACTGCCAATGTTGGAGAATCTGAGATAACAAGGTGTAGAGCTGGATGAACACTGCAGGCCAGGTAGCATCAGAGGAGCAGGAAAGCTGACGTTTCGGGACTGGACCCTTCTTTATTTTCTGAATAAAGACTACCATTAATGTGTAATTCTGCCCTCTTGTGGTTGTACTAAACCTATGAAACCGATGTGTGCCCTTGTTAATTTCACGTGTATTTTGCGTTGATACTAAATTAGCATGTTTGCTCATTAAGACAAGACACATCTGCACAGCGAAACTCGATGTCTTCTCCCACAATGAATCTTCTCATTTTAAGGATACTGAAATAACATTTCACCAGCACTTGTACGCCTCCTGCAACTAGATTTTGTTTATCAATAAAAAAAAGTGAATGCTGGTAGTAACCATGGGTGACTGAGGCAAGATTCATGACAGAGAAGGCCAGTTCCATTGCCAGTGCTTAACACATACTTTCAAGGTAGCAGCGAGAAAGAAAAAGAAAGCTTGAGCAAATATTTTCCATCTTGTAGTAAGCACTTTATTCCCATTGTAATCAGATTTATTTTTCTAACCTTGCTGAGATAAACAGAGTCCAATTACACAGTGCCTTTCACGTTCTCTAGACATTGACGCCTTTCCAGCTAAACTAGTTACTCCTTAAAGAAACAGTTACAATCATTTTGTAGGTGAACATACCCTATTTTGCATAAAGTCCCACAAGCAACATGCAAGATAAACGACCAATAGAAACAAATTAATTGGGGAAGGTGAATTTTAACACTAGGGGGTGACTGAGAGGGACAGGCATCACTTTGGTGCATATATTAGAGCCTGGATGCAGTCATCTACACTGAGAGGTGGATCGTCGTGGGCCTGGTATCAAATAGTACATATGCCTCAAACATTACATCACTGTAGTGTTTCCCTCCCTCTTCTTCTAACCAAAAAAAAGAGGGAAGAGAGATGTGCTATTGAAAATTTGTTGGTAGCAGAGCGAGAAGTAAGGCGTTGGTTCAAAAGGCTTTGGTGAGCAGCAGCAGCTCAGCAAAAAGTACCGGTTAGTGGTATGCTGCTCCTGCAGGATGTGGGAGCTCAGGAAGACTTCCATGATCCCTGATGACTACACCTGTGGGAAGTGCACTCAGCTGCAACTCCTAGGAGGCCATGTTAGGGAGCTGGAACTGGATACACTCAGGATAGTCCGAGATGCTGAGCGTATCGTATATAAGAGTTTTGGTGACACATGACCTAAGGTGGAGGCAGAAAGTAGCGGGGTGACCTCCAGGAAACGCAAAGGGAGTAGATGGAGTATGCCGTAATCCCCTGTGGCCATTCCCCTCGAAAACTAGTTTCCCATTTTGGATACTGTGGGGGGTGGAGGAATGACCATTCAGGGGAAAGCAGCAGTAGCCAGGTCAGTGGCACTATGACTGGCTCTGGGGCACAGCAGGAAAGGGTAAAGGTAAACAGGGCCTTAGGTGATAGGGCACTCGTTAGGTAGGGGGACAGACAGGAGATTCTATGACCAGGATGGTGTGTTGCTTCCTGGGTGCCAGGGTCCAGGATGTCTCCGATCGACTGCAAAATGTTCTTAAGGGAGAGTGTGAGCAGCCAGAAGTCATTGTCATTTGTGCCAAGGGTGGGTTTAAACTAGATTGCCAGTGGGTGGGGGTGGGGGAATCCTCAACAGCAGGGAGGCAAGTGCGAGGCTGGAAGGAGATACAGTAATCAGAAGAGGTGACATTATTGGGGTTGTACTATAGGCCCCCAAATAGTCAACGGGAATTAGAGGAACAAATATGCAGGGAGATTGTGGAGACTTGCAGGACAAATAGGATTATTATAGTGGGGGATTTTAATTTTCTTAACATAGACTGGGACTGCCATTATGTTAAGGGCTTAGATCGGGTGGAATTTGTTAAGTGTGTTCAGGAAAGTTTGCTCAAGCAGTATACACAGGGACCAACTCAGGAAGGGGCGAAACTCGACATAATCTTGGGAAATAGGGCAGGGCAGGTGACAGTGGGGGAGCACTTTGGGACCAGTGATCATACTTCTATTAATTTTAATATAGTTATGGAAAAAGACAGAACTGGTCCACAGGTTCAAGGTCTAAATTGGGGCAAGGCAATTTTTGATGGAATTAGACAGGAGTTTGCAGGGATTGATAGGAGTAGTTTGTTTGCAGGCAAAGGGACCTCTGCCGAGTGGGAGGCCTTTAAGTGTGATAGCTAGAGTTCAAGGTCTTAATGTTCCTGTGAGGATGAAGGGCAAGGTTGGCAGGAGTAAGGAACCCTGAATGACAAGTGATATTGAGGCTTTGACCAGAAAAAAGGAGGAGGCTTGGCTCAGGAGCAGGCATCTGGGATCAAGGGAATCCCTGGAGGTATATTGAGGATACAGGAGGGTGAAAAGGGGGCACAAGATAGCTTTGGCTGATTAAGGTGAAACCAAAGAAATTCTTTAAGTATATTAAAGGAAAAATAATAACTAGAGATAGAAAAGGACCCCTCAAGGACCAAAGTGGACATCTATGTGTGGAACTGCAGGAGGTAGGCGAGGTCCAAAAAGAATATTTCTCCTCTGTGTTTACCATGGAGAAAGACAAGAAGACTTGGGAACTTGGGGAAGTTAGTAGCGATATCTTGGGGACAGTCCATATCACAGTAGAAGAGGTATTGGAAGTATAAGAATGTACGAAGGTGGATAAATCTCCTGGTCCTGATCAGATCTTTCTAAGAACCCTGCAAGAGGCTAGAGAAGAAATTGCAGGGGCCCTGACTGATATATTTGCATTATCATTAGCCACAGGTGAGGTCCCAGAAGACTGGAGGGTAGCGAATGTTGTGCCTTTATTCAAGAAGGGCTGCAAAAAACAAAAACTGTGAACTGTAGACCAGTAAGCTTAACATCTATGGGAGGTAAGTTACTTGAGAAGATTCTGAGGGATAAGATGTACACGTATTTAGAAAGACATGGCTTGATACAGAGTAGTCAGCATGGCTTCGTGCGTGGGAGATCACACCTCACAAATTTGTTAAAGTTCTTTGAAGTGACAAAGAAGATTGATGGGGGCAGAGCGGTAGACATAGTCTATATGGATTTCAGTAAGGCCTTTGATAAGGTTCCACATGGAAGGTTGGATCGCATGGAATCCAGGGAGAGCTGGCAAATTGGATACACAATTGGCTTGATGGTAGGAAGCAGAGAGTAATAGTGGAAAAATGCTTGTCTGACTGGAGGCCTGTAACTAGTGGTGGGCCTCAGGAGTCGGTGCTGGGCCCATTGCTGTTTGTTATCAATGATTTGGATGAGAATGTACAAGGCATGATTAGTAAGTTTGCTGATGACCCTAAGATAGGTGGTACTGTGGACAGTGAAGAAGGTTATCAGAAATTGCAGCAGGATCTTGATCAGCTGGGGAAGTGGGCCAAGAAATAGCAAATGGAGTTTAATATAGATAAGTGTGAGGTGTTGCATTTTGGAAAGTCAAATCAGGGTAGGAGTTTCATGGTGAACAGTAGGGCCTTAAGTAGTGTAGTGGAACAGAGGGACCTTGGACTTTAGGTGCATGGTTCTCTGAAAGTGGAGTCACAGGTAGACAGGGCAGTGAAGAAGGCTTTTGGCACACTGGCCTTGATCGGTACAGAAGTTGGGAAGTTATGTTGCAATTGTACAGGACGTTGGTGAGGCCACACTTGGAAAATAGTGTTCAGTTTTAGTCATTTTGCTATAGGAAGGATGTTATTAAACTGGAAAAAGTGCAGAAGAAATTTACAAGAATGTTGCCAGGACTCAAGGGACTGAATTATATGGAGAGGTGGGTCAAGCTAGGACTTTTTTTTTTTCTTTAGAGTGTAGGAGACTGAGGGGGGATCTTATAGAACTGTATAAGAACATGAGAGGCATGGATAGGGTGAATACACTCTGTCCTTTTCCCAGGATTGGGGAATCAAGGACTAGAGGGCATCAGTTTAAGGTACGAGGGGAAAGAATACATGGGAACCTGACGGGCAACCTTTTTTTTTTACACAGAGGGAGGTACGCATATGGAATAAGCTGCCAGCGGAACCAGTTGAGGCAGATACATTAACAACATTTAAAAGGCATTTGGATGAATACATGGACAGGAAAGATTTTCAAGGATATAGGTCAAGTGCAGGGAAATTAGGTTAGTGTGGATGGACATTTTGGTTGGCATGGACCCATTTAGGCCAAAGCGCATGTCACCATGCTATAGGACTCTATAACAGAAACTGGGAAGACATCCAGGTCTTCTTTGACAAGGTGCCATGTTCACATTATCATTGGAGTAGACAGGTCTGCTCTCTCATTGGAGAGATGACTGATAGTGGTTTAAGATGAGGAGCACCACACCTCAGGCAAGGGGAGTTTGAGAAGGTGGGACCCTCATAGTAGCCTCAGCTGGAATGGAAAATAGAAGCAATTATGTATTGCAAACCAATCATCCCACTAACTGAATTAACCAACACCCTCATCTAAAGGCAGCATTCTAAGTATGATACAATTTTAAAAGATATAGAAATTTTAATCATTGCTGTTCTTTGATCCCACAAAAATAAAGTAACAAAAGCACGCTAATTAACACTTAATCTAGACCCTAATTGATAAAAAGATTTATAGCACCTTCCTTTTTTTCCAAGCTAGTTTAAAAACAAAATGGACTGTACTTGTTAACCAGTGCAAATAATCAGTGCAAGGTCTGATGCTAGGCAAATCTAGCCAGCTGCATGAACAATACAAATAAAATTGTTAACACTGACCTATTTAGATTCTTTTTTAAAAAATGCAATACATCTTATCAAATTCCATTTAAGAATTATGGCCATGTAGACTATTTCTTCAAAATTTAAATGAAGCTTTTTTTTTCTTCACTTTGCACAAATGTCTCAAAGCAATTATAGAAAATGACAGCACAATAATATTTTGAAAATATTAAACTTACGGTTTGTAGTAAAGACTGTAAGGAGGATTGGTCACTGTCAATTGGGCTATAAGTGACACAAGAACTAATACAAATATTGGCAACAGCTGCAAAAATACTGAATATGTTCCCTGCAAAATGTGCAAGAAAGTAAATAAGTCAGTTGAGAAATTTTGAATTGATAAAGTGCAATGGAAGAAATCTTGTTTTCAGTAATTCCTTAATCCCAGTACCATAATGTTGTTTCCCAGCAACTAAGTTCTTTGCTTATTCATTATGTATGATATATGTCAATTCTTTACTCACCACATAGTATGCTTTATCAGCAAAGATATTTTTAAAAACACTGCCACATTATTAAAATAATATGTAAATCATAGTCTGGTCACTTAGAGCAGGAACTTTAATATAATATCAACCTGTTGACTATGCATTGAAATGTGCTTCCTCCCTGATCCCTTCTGCATATAAAAGGACCAAATGATTATGATATGAGGTTTGTCATCAACACTGGTTTTAACTGGATAGCAATCGCATTCAAGTGGAAAAGAGAAGCAAGTCATACCATTGTACTTGACATATTTTACCACAGATTTGAACATCAAATCTATTCCACTGGAGAGGCTTGACTAGCTATTATGATTAGGCCTATTAGGCATTTAACATAAGATAATACAAGCATGTTATGTGTCTATAAAATTTGAGAATATACAGGAACCTTTGGTTCTTTCCAAATGAAAATGGTCTCTCCCTTTGAGGGATAAAACAGAAGCCACTTACATTGTTTAATGGCTTAGTCTCACATTCTACCTCATTGAAATGTTAACATTCACCTGAGATCTAGCCTCCTGTTCTTCCTCTTCCACCTGGTCATTCATATAGCGATGCCGGCGGTAAATATGGGCGTATGTTGTTGTTCCATTTGTATAGGCATGAATATTACCTGGTCAAAAAATATGGTCATCAGAAGGCTTCTCCATTAACAAATGCAAACAAACCGAGAAACTGGACAGTGAAGTGCAACAGTACAGCAAATAGAATGGTTCTCTTCTTCCAATCGTAAGTACTGAATTTTATCAGTTGCTACATTTCATTTTTATGTAAATGATAAATGTTTCATATATCTATGGAATGTTGGGCAGCAAAATCTTAATTAAGTGCAACCAGTTTTGAATCGGTCTTAGCTATTCTTTTAGATTCATCACTGCTGTACACTTAAATAAGAATCCAAGCATCTTACTTTTATGGGCATGCAAATACTGACTATCAAAATACATTAAACTGCAGGGACACAGCAATAGATCTCTTGAATTTAGCTACAGGAGATGCTAATATGGTGGTAACATTGCTGGATGAGTAATGGAGAAGCCAAGGCTCTGGACTGAATTGCTTGGAGTATCTGGATTCAAATCCCACAGCCACAGCTAGTGGAATTAAATTAAATGAACAAATCTGGATGTTGCAAAAACCTATTTGGTTCACCCATGTCCCTTACAGGCCAAAACACTGTCTCACTTTGAGGAGTTGATAATAGTATTTTGGGCTAAAGGGATCAAATGACATAGGAGAAAAGTAGGAACAGGATATTAAGTTGGATGACTGACATGATCATAATGAATGTCGGAGCAGGCTCAAAGGGCCAAATGGTCTACTCCTGCTCCTATTTTCTATGTTTTTAATATTTCAATTTTGAATCCATGTTCATTTCTGTTACACAAGATGAGCTAAACATATTAACCTCAGTCTTTTTAACTTCATCATTTTCATCATGCAATGGAAAAGAAAAATGGCAGAGATAGTAGGAACTGCAGATGCTGGAGAATCCGAGACAACAAGGTGCAGGGCTGGATGAACAAGCAGCATCATAAGAGCAGAAAGGCTGACGTTTCGGGCCTAGACCCTTCATCAGAAAAGGGGGAGGGGAAAGGGGTTCTGAAATAAATAGGGAGAGAGTGGGAGGCGGATAGAAGAGGGATAGAGGAGAGGATAGGTGGAGAGGAAACAGACAGGTCGAAGAGGCGGGGATGGAGCCAGTAAAGGTGAGTGTAGGTGGGGAGTTAGGGAGGGGATAGATCAGTCCAAGGAGGACGGACAGGTCAAGAGGGCGGGATGAGGTTAGTCGGTAGGAGATGGGGGTGCGGCTTGAGGTGGGAGGAGGGGATAGGTGGGAGGAAGAACAGGTTAGGGAGGCGGGGACGAGCTGGACTGGTTTTGGGATGCGGTAGGGGGAGGGGAGATTTTGAAGCTTGTGAAATCCACATTGATACCATTGGGCTGCAGGGTTCCCAAGCGGAAAATGAGTTGCTGTTCCTGGAACCTTCGGGTGGCATCGTTGTGGCACTGCAGGAGGCCCAGGATGGACATGTCGTCTGAGGAATGGGAGGGGGAGTTGTTTATTGCGAACCGAGCGTAGGTGTTCTGCAAAGCGGTCCCCGAGCCTCCGCTTGGTTTCCCCGATGTAGAGGAAGCCACACTGGGTACAGCGGATGCAGTATACCACATTGGCAGATGTGCAGGTGAACATCTGCTTGATGTGGAAAGTCTTCTTGGGGCCTGGGATGGGGGTGAGGCTTCTAGTACCTCTTCCACATACTTCTGCTGCAGTTGGGGGTTATTCAGCAGCCAGCTGGTCTTTGGCTTGCTGGCAATTTGTCTGTACTTTCATTTGTATAGTGGCCACTGTGTTGATAATCCCCGCTGTGGTTGGATCCATTGGTCATTCTAATGATCCTGTGTGGGGAATGTCAGAAACAGAACAAGTTCTTAATAAAGTGAGCAATCAGCGTTGACATCTCGCACATTGAGGATTTAAGGAGTAGCCCTCAATACAGTGTGACAAAGAAGACCCTTGAACTCCTTTATGTGGGCCTTTGACATAGTGGACCTTATTTTGATTTGTTCAGCACAAGCAGTACTGTGCAAATATAGTAGGAGATTTTAAATGGAGTAGGCTAATGAAACCTTGCCCCCTTACATAAACCACCCTGCCCCATGTCACCTAAGGACATATGCATTGTATATTAGAACATGTTGTCAAATAGTTACATTCAAGGTGAGAGGAAATCAGTAGAAAGGATTACTGTAATTTTTTAAAAACAAGTTACCTGGCTCTCATTGTAAATGCTGTTGACACTGCTATTTGTTCAAGCAATGGGGACAGTCTAGTTTGCAGACAAACTAAAGCCATTGGGTGGGTATGAATGGAGATTTGTCCAGCAACAAATAACTTATTGGTCTGTGAAATAGTTTGCAGTTGTAAATGGCAGAGGTTTTCTGCGTGCCAACGAATATCTGATTGTCTCCCAATGATCTGATTTCCTCTCACCTTGAATGTAAGTATTTGACAACATGTTCTAATATACAATGCATATGTCCTTAGGTGACATGGGGCAGGGTGGTTTATGTAAGGGGGCAAGGTTTCATTAACCTACTCCATTTAAAATCTCCTACTATATTTGCACAGTACTGCTTGTGCTGAACTAATCAAAATAAGGTCCACTATGTCAAAGGCCCACATAAAGGAGTTCAAGGGTCTTCTTTGTCACACTGTATTGAGGACTACTCCTTAAATCCTCAATGTGCGAGATGTCAACGCTGATTGCTCACTTTATTAAGAACTTGTTCTGTTTCTGACATTCTCCACACAGGATCATTAGAATGACCAATGGATCCAACCACAGCGGGGATTATCAACACAGTGGCCACTATACAAATGAAAGTACAGACAAATTGCCAGCAAGCCAAAGACCAGCTGGCTGCTGAATAACCCCCAACTGCAGCAGAAGTATGTGGAAGAAGTACTAGAAGCCCAGAAATATCACCCTCCATGTCATTTCCTCCAGATGAGTGCAGTGATGGGCACCGCAGACTAAGCATGTCATGGGACACAGCCAGAGAACTGTGCCATCTGCGACTGTGGGACTTGCAACCTGAAGAGGTGGGTGGCTATCCCATCCCAGTGGTTGTCAAGACAGTTGCATTAAATTTACATGCAACTTGCTACTTTCAAGGATCCATTGGGGACTTGTGCAGGTTCTCTCAATACTCAACCCACAAACTTCTTAAGGCTGTTCAGAAATCATTTATAGCTACAAGACATTCGAAAACCAGAACTGTTTGAATGTAATGGGATGTCTCTCTCGCATTGCCTTCTCCCATGAGAGACTGCCAGTTAGTTTTTAATTAGGTTTGCTTTCAGATAGAAACAAAAAACAATTGAGGGTCTTGGAAATCTAGATTTGCAAAGTTACTGGTTCAGTCAGGTGAAAGATATTAAAAATAGAAATCCTTGATTGTACCCTAGTCAATTGGTGTCAGAGTCGTTCTGAATAATACAAATCATGGGAAAACTACATACTTATCTGCCCGTGCTTTTTAGTTAGTCTTCTTAAATTGATAGCCATCCAAATCCTCAATTGTAGAAAAGTGGGTCGGCTGTGATGCAGTACAGAGGAGTTGGGAAAACCCCTTAAATGCAGCAACTCAACGCAAAGAGATTTTAATTGCAAGGTAAGTTTAATAAATTGCATACAGAATTGCTCAACTTCTTTTTTGTTTCTTTTAAACATTTAATATTTTTGACCAATTGTAAATGTAATGAATTTATTTCATTTGGAAATTCTAAATAACAATGTACTGATTCGTACCACCAGTTACACTGCTGCAGTGACCATCTTTATGGACCATCGTATAATTTCTATTTGGTTAAACTCATTAAGTTAGCTAAAATTAAATTTTTGTATAGCAACAGACCCCAAGACCAACCTGTGGGAAATCTTCCACCAAAGAAGATGTTGAACAAATCTTCAGGCGTTACATCTGCTTCAAATTCACTGTAAAACTTTGAACCACCGGCATAAGGACTACGAACAGTTGGTGGCTCCTCTCCATATTCATCATATTGTTTTCTTTTTTCTGGGTTACTCAGAATAGCATATGCGTTTCCTATTGCTAAAGTAGATATCAGTAATTTCAGTTATTATATTTTCACCATTAAATTCCTGTCAATTTATGTTCATGTATATTTAACAATATTAATCAACAATAATAAATTTAGATAGTGTTACAGAAATAGCAAATATGCACCAATATTCAAACTTTCATCACATGATTTTATGAATCAGAATTTTCAGGGACTTCAGTGATTTTTAAACATGACAAATACTGATCTAAAGGGAGAGATACTGATCTCACCTGACCACAAACTGAGGCAAGTCCAGGTAAACCATATACACTACAATAAAATAACATCACTGAAAGTCCCATTTTATTCAAAAACAAAGACTGTGAAACCAGACTACTAATACAACATCATAAAATTTGCACCTCCTGCTTAGCTCTCACTCACGTGATAAGTTCCCACATTGGAGGATTAAATGTTTGCCTGTGGAGTATTCAGCTTGAAATGACAATGGAGCTCGATTCAGGAGTATACATACAAATCACAGTTCAGCAATTTGCTTGGCACGGCAGAGGGAGAAGGAAACATGGATTCGTCACAATACCAGGAAGGTTTTCTCTCTCAAAATTCCATAATATTTCATAAATGTTAAAGAAATATGACAATAGCTATACAGCTGTGGACTCAGGTTTCACACTCAACTCCAGGACTCTATGAACTTTTAAAATGAATCTGCTGTTATCTTTCTGTTTGTACTAGACACCCTCACCACCCCATCCACTTCATTTCTAAAAATTTATTACCTGTATTTGTAATACATATTTGATGTTGTATTTTATTATATTTTCCTCGGGTTTAGTAAGTAATAAAATTCTTCTTTCTTTCACTCATTAGCTTGGAAGTGGCTCCTTAATTTTGATGAGTAAAAATAAGTTTTAATTAAATGTGTGAAAACTGTGTGCTTAAGAAGAAATAATAAATATTCATTGTATCCAACCAAAGGGGATTAAAAAGAGCTAATTCTCTCTGCTCCTCACGTGTGACAAAAACCAAAGAAATACTAAAAAGTAGAAGACTTTTATATATTAGTCATTCATAAATAGAGTCATGGAGTCGTACAGCATGGAAACAGACCGTTCGGTCCAACTAGTCCATGCTGACCATGGTCCCAAACTAAATTAGACCCACTTACCTGCGCTTTGTTCATATTCCAACAAGCCTTTCCTACTCAAAATTATCCAAATGTCTTTTAAATATTGTTAACTGTACCTGCATCCATCACTTCCTCTGGTGGTTCATTCCACATACCAGCCACTATGTAAAAAAAAGTTTCCCCTCGTGTCTTTTTAAAATCTTTCTTCTCTCACCTCAAAAATATGCCCTGAGTTTTGAACTCTCCCACCATAGGGAAAAGACCTTTGCTATTCATCTTTTCTATGCCGTTCATGATTTTATTAACTTCTATAAGGTCATCCCTCAACCTCCTACGCTCCAGGGAAAATATGTCCCAGCCTATTTTTGTAACTCAAACCCTCCATTTTCCGCAATACCCTATAAATCTTTTCTAAACTCTCTCCAGCTTTATACTTATAAAAGGGTGACTAGAACTGCACACAGTACACCAGAAGAGGCCTCAACAATGTCCTGCACAACTTCAATATGATGTCCCAACTCATATAATCAAAATCTGAGCAATGAAGGCAAGTGTGCTAAATGCCATCTTTACCACCATCTCTACCTGTGACACAAATTTCAAAGAACTATGTACCTGAACTCCTAGGGGTCTCTGTTCTACAACACTACCCAAGGCCCTACCATTAATCGTACAAGTCTTGCCTTTGTTTATTTTACCAAATACAATACGTTGCATTGATCCAAATTAAACTCCATTTGCCACTCCTCAGCCCATTGATACAATTGATCAAGATCTCTTTGTAATCTCAGCTAATCTTCTTCATTCTCCACTATACCACCAATTTTGGTGATGAAAGGGTATATGCTCCCAACCGGCTACAAAACATGATTTGGAAATGAAGACGGTTGATAAACAAGAAATTATTTACATTAGCGATAACCTGAGGGCAGGGAATTAATAAAGTTGAGAAAAAAAAAAACAAAAGTTCAGACTGAGTTATGATGCTCAGGAATACAATGTTGAACAGTGTAGTGGAAGCAGTTTTCTCAAATATAGGAAGAATACAGAAGCTTTAGAGCAAGTGTGAAGGAGATTTATTAGGACGCTTCTGATGAAAGGTCATTGTCTTCAAATGTTAACTGCTTTTCTGCCTATATACGTCTTGCCAGATCAGAAGAGCATTTTCAGATTTCTAGAATCTGCAGTATATTACCTTGTTTCATTGGAAAGATGCCTAGTGTAAGTAAAAATCATACACAAACATAGAAATTAATGCATTTTCTTCATTAAAACAAAGTAGATCAGCAAACAGTAAAATAGAAGCAGACAGGTATTAGTCTTTGAAGTAAATAAGAACGAGGGGCTATAGATGCAAGACTGAATATGCGAGATTTGGAACAGAATAGGAGAAACATCTATACCAAAATGTTGCAAGGGTGTAGAGATCATTCACCTGATTAATGGAAGAGGCAGAAGCTTTGTCGATACATTTAAGAACAGATAGAAAATTGGTTGAGAAATAGAAAGAGTACAAGGGATATAGGAACAAGGTAGCAATTAGTTGTGTTGAAGGAAACTGTGAGATTTTATTATAAATTCGGTACATACTATGGAATATCTACAGAGCAGAAGAGGCCCTTTGAGTCTGCACCAACCTTCCAAAGAGCATCCCACCTAGACCCACGTTCCTGAACCTCGAGTCCATGTCCCTGGTGCTAGGAGGCTGCAGTGCTAACCACTGAGCCATCATGCCACCTAAATGTTCAAGTATTCCTAAGAAGGGTCAATGTCTGCAAGGGTTTTCCAGAAATTGAGAAGGGTAAGAAATAGGTGCATTTATTAGGCTAAACCCTCACATCTCACAACATATACAATATCAGAGCCAGGTGCATTGGTCCTTTTTACATCCCTCATGAGCTCATCTAGTCTGATAACATGATCCAGTGCTCAAGTATGTTTTGTTTATTACAACTTCACAACAGATAAAGTCTTTGGCAAATTCTACCTCCTCATGGAAGCTCACCTTTCTGCCTCAGAGAAATTGTGTACCTGCTATGCCAATGTTCAATCTGAACTGCATCTTCAACTTCATAGTTTGAAACAGAAGCTAATTTATGGTTCGACTGACTTTGAAGCAACTTTTCAAAGAGTAGGAACACAAGTAAGATCCCCAACTTGTTTGCAAAGTTCACAACAGGGCAAGATTCTCTTAAGTGGAACATTTTTTTCCCCAATCAGAATTAAAGAAAATATTCCCCAGTAACCCATCTTTCTCCAATGTCCCAATTGCTAAGAGCAATCTGCAGAAAAGATAGGTAGAAGGCAAAAATGGAAGAGGGAAAGGGAAAAATGAACACTATGATAAATGTTCTACTTGTGTACTGCACAGGCATGCTGGTGACAGTATAGTCAGTCATGAACCTAGCATAATAATAAAGAAGCACAGGATGGTGGAGAAACTCCGAAGATCTAGCAGCATCTGTGGAGACAGAAATTGTGTTAATATTTTGAGTCCAGCATTACTCCTCTTCAGAATGTAGCATATCGTCATGGATGTTGCCATTGCCCACAGCAAGAGCAAATAGGTGCTGACAAGCCACAGGTCTTGTTCTTGAAGTGAGGATTAGATCAAGAAGTAGGGACATATATGTCTGTGTCGAGTGCTGTCTGTCAATCTATTTTGCATGACTTAATTGAGTAAGAATATGGATGGCAGTTAACAAAAGATTATGAAGCAGAAGACTTTTTTTTAAACAGTTCCGAATGTTAGTTAATTGTTGTGAGACAAGATGAGTAACCATAGTGTAAGGTGCTAAGTTAGAGTTTCCCTTAATTATATTGTACCGCAAAGGATGAATTACTTAATAATTCAAGAGCGCTGAGGAGTTTGTGGGCATTCTGGGAGGACAGTGAAAAGATAATGGAAACCCACACGCATTTCTCACCAACCTTGGTGAAGTCATTAACCTGTTCTAACATGATGTCATAATCCTTGGAGATGCAAGAATTGGCACTTGGTTTCAGAACAATTTTTCAGCAGACAGCACAAGTTACATTTATGAGGGCTTCATAACAGATAGCATCAGTGACTGGCGACCTCTGTCTTTGATTTCTTTGAGATTAGGATTTTGGGTGAAGTTCTGTGATCGTTCTATCCAGCCTGTGTCATGCTTTGTTGCCCCCGGCTCTAAATGCAGTGTATGTGGTTGCAATTGTGTTCAAGTATGATGAAAAACAAACACAGTAAAATTCAGGAAGAGTCAAGTAAAGGATCACTGGACCCAAAATGTTACTCTGCTTTCTGTCGCCAGATCTGCCAGACCTACTGACTTTTTCCAGCAATTTCTTACTTCCAGCATCTCTTACTTGTCATCTGTCTGTGGCCTGAGAAGCTATGCAGGCTTAAATGGCTTTTTAAAAACTAAGTCTTCAGATGGCTTAGCTGTTCATGTCTGATATACTCTAATGCAAACCCTGTTGGGCCAATAAACACAGTGGTTCTTTAAAAAGAGTCAACAGCGGTCTAATTTATTTCAAAGAACTCTATGCATCAGTTTCATTCATTGTAAAAACAAATGCTCAGAAGAATTAAATCGGCAACAAGTGCAACTGCACTACAAAAAGGTAAAAGCCCAAAGTAGATTTCACAAATGAAAGCTTATCTCCAAGAAACCAACCAGTAGAAAGAAACAGTAATACCTTGACAATCCTATGATAGAGAGAGATCATCTGGTTCTAAACAAAATGTTCTGAAAAGAGCACAAAATCACTGAAATTTTAACCATTAATTTCAATAACCTACCCAGTGCATGTGATGTACACTGAAAAATTAGAGGGAATTTGAAGAATACATTTAGACATTAAAACAAACTTTAAAATTTCTAAAATTGACAATGGTTTCCATTAAAATTTTTGATGTCAATGCTTTAGGTATTTAATTGTCCATATTGTACTAGATATTTAGTTCCTCGTCCTTTAGTTTCTCACCCTTTCCCCATTGATTTAGAACTTTACATCATTGTTTTGAAGTTGCAACTTTGTACCTTTAAATGCATCTGTTGCACCAGGAGCACAGTTTTTATCAGGATGAAACTTTAATGCCAGCTTCCTGTAAGATCTTTTTAAATCTTCTTCATCTGCATTTCTACTAAGTCCCAGAATTTCATAGTAATTCTTACATCTTTTTATCCTGTAAAACATTAAACAACAATTAACAGGTAGACTGTGATCTGGAATGGACTACGATCTAGAATAGACTGTCTTCTGGGAAAGTGGGCAAGACAAAGCATTAAAAGAACAGCAAAGATACATTTTAAATGAGTGTTTTTTTGGTCCACTTGTCCACTCTTTTGAGGTACCTGATTGGAAACAGGACACTTTTTGTATTCAGTGTCAACATTAAGCATTCCCAGGTCAGCCATGGCACAGCCAGAGATAGATTAAGCTGTCTTAAGTACCAGGGAATTCCAATTTCATAAATCTTCTATATCTCCTGATCTATAAATCAAGTTAATGCTAGGATACAAAATAAACTTCAAAGTGCAATACTACATAAAGCAAACTGCTCAAGTATTCTTGCTAAGATTATTACATTCAGTAATAAATTCCACTGTAAAATTCTGGCCTTTCAATGCAGAATTTTTTTTTTTGAAAAAACACAGCCTTGGTAATCCATTCATAACATTGAGAATAGAAAAGTCAATGCCAAATCATAGCAACATTTGGATCAAATATTTGATTTAAAATTCAAAATTCTATTACAATATGCTGATTTAAGATTCAGCATTCCTATTATCAAATGCTGATTTCTGAAGTACAATCTTATTTTATAAATTCTACTTCAGTTGCAATTCACAGGAATATTATGTTACTGAATAAACATTTTCTGGATGATAATATCCAAAAGTTCAATTACACTATTTTACTGGAAGAAAGTATTGGATTTGCGTAGATTGTTTTCTCTCACAGCAGCAGAACATTACAAAGCGCCTCATAGCTGCTGAATGCTTTTAAAATATAATTACTGATATAATGAAGGAAAATCAGCAGTCAGTCAATTTGCACCCAGCAAGGTTCAACAATCAGTGATTTTGTTTGAGGGTTAATGGCCAGCTGCGTTGCCACAGGAATGGAAAAGTGTAAGGCAAAAAAAATGACGTTGAAGGGAGACATAAAAGCTTCACAGAATCGTATGTTGTTAGTCAGTTCAGAACAACATTGGCTAAGACCTTGGAAGGAAAAGTAGTAACGAAATTGGAAGGTAGCATGGTGAAATCAAAGGTGAAAGAAGAAATTTATCTTCAATGTAAAAGAAATAAATCATGAATAGCAGTCAATAATAAATAAGATTTTAAAAGTTATTTTCTGTCAAGGTTGGGGGCAGCTGGGAGTGTTACAATTTTCTTACTCTCAAGACTTATCTGCTTACAAATCAAAGATTGCTTTATAATTTAGAGGTTTATATAAATTCACGAAGGAGATACAATCTTGTAATGCTCACAAAAACCCAATTTATTTTGAATTTATAAAATGTGACAGTTATTTCACCCCCCTTTCATTTCTGAAATCCCCAGCAACCTATTATCCGACATTCAATTTTACTAGTCTCAATTAATCTGATAACTTCTGCTTTTCAATTTGTCTGTCAGCCAGCATTGTCCCACATCAACATAGTTGAGTTTGAGAATTCTGTAGAATTGTGGCCACATATACTTACCACCTTTCTATGTAAAGCTACTGGTATTTCAACACACCACCTTATCATTATGAAATAAATCAGTGTTTGAGGAACAACTAGAATGAACAAACAGCAAAAATGCCATCCAGAATTGAGTGCAAATGCATAACAAGAGGTAGTTGAATTGTAAAGAGACACTGTTTCTGATTTAAAGGTGCAAATGACACTTAATTTTAAGTTTCTTTTCCCTCAAAAATATCAATGATTTCAATTAAATAGTTTAAGGGTAAACCACAGAAGCATTTTTTGAACATTTTCATTTGAAACATTAAAATTGAGGGTGAGTCAAGAATAGAATGTAATCCTCTTACAAAAAACCTTCCCATATAACTTATATGAATTTTATCCATACTGAATAAACACATGTTTATAACTTAAGCGTCTGTATAATATATGTAGTGCATTCTCACCTCTGTACACCCTCCAGCTGCTCTTGAGTGTAACTCTTGGCAACTTCACTGATTCCTGCAGGTGAATTCACACACCTTTTCAATCTACTGGATTTGCATGCAACGTTATTTGCATCTTGGTCACAGTTCCAACCAAATGAGCTTCCATTTCTAACAATTAATTGGATTAGTGCTAAAATTAAAAAAAAATAAGCACAGGAAAACAGAAAAAAATTCAACAATTTTTTTTTCAAAATATTGCATTGTAAAACTTAAAACAGAAAAATACGTAATTTATAGATTTTAAAGTAGCACAATTTAAATTTTTATTAAAAACAAGCACAATTTACATTTTTATTAAAAACAAAGTCTTCATTTGTGATTTTACCTACAAGTATTCACGATTCAAAAATTATCAGAATGTTTAAGAAAATTGTATTTCCAAACATTAATGTTTAAATCATAGCTGTGCATACTAACTGCTGAAACCAGAGATAAACCAAATTATTTATGCTTAAGAAAATAACATTTATTTGCATTTATTCAAACTGACTGCAAACTGCTCAATAACTTCCAAAAAATAAGTGATCGTGAAATTCGACAGTACAAGTACCTTGCCTCAATCAAGTTGCATGTTACATCAAGTTTTAAACTCTGCCATCGAAAAGGTACAGTTTTTACTGCATGTAACAGCTGTGCTGTATTTATGCAATTTGTCTATTATGCAAAATGTTTTCACCATCCATATTAAGTATCAATGAAAGAAATCCAGTTGTTAAAAGTCCAACAGCCAATAGAAACCGCAGGCAGCTTCAAACAGCTGTTGAGTGTGTTAACTCTGGAGGCAACTGTAAAGGACTGTTTCAAACAACTGCCGCTATCTAAACTCTCCACTCCGATTCTGTTCCATTGTTGTTAGAGGTACATGTCTGAATTCATTGCAACTTTTAAACTGAACGTCAAGAAATATCCACATTTAATAGATTTTAAATGTTATATTTGTGAGTGGCTCCTATGGGCATGACAAATGGTAAGTGCCATTTAGTGGAAATAAGGAAGTGTTCATTTTAAATGCAGGTAGGTAAATGGTGAGGAGTGAGCAATGTTTTCTATCTTTGATTGCATTACTGTTAACACATCAACAATCTACTGCTAGTAACTTCTGAGGAACCAACTGAAACTTTACCAGTTGGATAAAAGGTATGTTAAAGTATTGGTGCATTCTACTTGTGTTCTGGTGTTGTCCCAAACAGTGAGAAGGCAGGTTTACAACTTGCAAACACTAGGTTCCTAACTCAACTTCTTGTTAAAAGAGGCATGAACTGATTTAGATCTAATTACCATTTTCGAGAAATGGTTACAATATGACTAAGTTTATGAAATAAATAATTACTCCAGGATGCACAATGAAAAAGGAGGGTTACCCTTACAGTAAAGGGTGGCATAAGGACAATATTGAGAAATGTTCAGAAATAAGAGTCAGTATAAATGGAAATAGAGTGTAGTAACACAGTTAGAAAACACAGGTCTCATTACAGCAATTATACCATTGGACTGAACTCCATTCAACAAGAAAATTAATGAAGCTTGTAAGAAAACAATAGCTGTGAGCGATTTTAACTTCATATTGATCTGATAAATGTTCGTGAAATAGTGACTTAGAAGCAAATGATTTTTATGATAGTTTCCTGGAGTAAATGTGTTACAGAAACAATTTGGGTTAATGCGATTTTAGATCCAGAATTTGTGGTGAGGCAGGGTTAATTAGTAATCCCATAGTAAGAGATCCAATAGGAAGTAGTGATCATTGTTCAATTGAATTTCACGTTAAATTTGAATTTAGTTTCAATTCCAAATAAAAACAAAAATTCCAAAAGAAATTCACAGGCACAAGGGAAGAGTTGGCTATAGATGTTTGTCTGAATTAACATTAAAAGGTATGGTAGTAAATACGTGAGAAATGATTAAAGAAACAATTAAAAATATGTTTTAAAATTCCACTGAATACCAAAAACTCACCAAGAAAGACCCAATCATGGCATAAACATCAGTTCAAAAACTGGATTCAAAACATTTCACTCTTTCAATCTCCATAGATGTCGAGAATTTCTCCAGCAGTTTCTGTTTTTGTTTCTGATTTCCAGCATCTGCAGTATATTGCTTTTATTTGATCATTTTCCAGTTGCTATTACGCAAATGTTCATGGACTGTGAGGCTATTAATTAAATCTGGGTCCTTTTTCATATTAAATCTAACATGACATGCTCCCTTATGAATTCCAGGACAGAGGTTACAATTTTGATTATTTTTGACTCAACAGATCAGAGACAGTAATGGTGACCATTGAGACGAGTTTCTGGCAAGACAGTCCCAGGATGAGCGCTGAGGTTCCATTACATGTACATTCAATTCTTAGCTCAAAATGGTTGTAGACAAAATCATTGGCCCCTATACCTCAGCCCCTTTGCCAATCAACAACTCCATCAGCCCAGCTCAACAACTTTCACCCTGCCCTCCCAACTACTCAACAACATTCCCTTTGCGCAACAATTCCTCTCTCTCACACACACTCCCTTGCTTTCACTCTGGGATTGATCATTTGAAGCATTAAAGTGGGATCACAGCAAAAAAAGGTTTGGGGAGCGCTGTTCTACAACTCTGTTGCGGAAAAGTAAAGTACCTGGAAGAAATTTTCTGACAGGCATTAGTTCACTTGTCTCAAATTATATAAAATTCCCCAATCTAACCACTCTGCCTTTGCTATAAGTCAAACTGTTGGGACATATGACGTCCTACCAGCTTCGGAGATTTGAACCAGGCCTCCTAGCTCATGATTGGTGACATTACCACACTACCACAACAGCCCTCTGCTTATGCATCTATCAAAACACCAGGGGTCCGAAAAAGAACTTCCACTACAGTCTCAAATCTTTTATGCAAATTCTTAATTCTAGCACTGTAGCCTCCACTGCCTACTTCCATTCATTCTCTACCAATGAGGATATTTCATCTTTAATCACTAAAGTTACTCCTCCAAGAGGAAAAAAAATACAAATGTTAAGAAGTAAAAACAAAGAAATAGAAGACAAGGAGTCCTTCCTCATAACCAGACATCACACTGGAATCACATTACCACCAAGTATAGCAGTCAAACACATTTGCCCAAATTACAAACGACTCCATTTCAAAAGGTATTATAATGGACATAAAACATTTGTACAA